CGAATTTTCAAGCTTAGAGTGTCCATATTAAGTCCTGCATCAGTGTAACTGTCAGTCTCAACAAAAAAGATATAACAGATAGGGTAAGTGCGCCTAAGTTCGGCATGTCCCAGTAGTCGGCAATTTTGAAATTTAAACTTAAATAACTAAAAATGGAATTGACCAAATAATAAAATAATTGCAAAAAAACGTCAGCAGTGTTCTCTGCTCCCTTTCTGTAAAAAACAATGAGCTCCGATCATTTATTAATAATAAACCGTAATTAATAATAGAATAACGGTTTTCGTCAGTGAGTGTCTGCCAACGCGTGCGATGTGCTTGTTTGTAAAGAAAAAATTAGTGGTGGCGTCAACTTAATAATCAATTTAAGTAAATTAAATTTAATACTTTTGGAATCAGAAATATTTTATAATAGTAAATGATAGTCTAACGATCATTTTATAACTTAAAAAATATACATAATCAAGCATTTTACTCTTATATTATTTACATTAGGAACAGAAAAAAAGGGATTTGCCAGTAGTCGGCAGGGGTGCCGATTACTAGAAAAATATCATATCAATATTGGGGTTAAAAGTTAATTCTTTAAATACACAAAGCATTTATGGCGCTCTTCAGTCCAAATAAACTTTGCATTTTTCCTAGTTAATTTTGTTAATGGCAGAGAGTATTCTGCAAAATTCGGTATAAATTTTCTGTAGTAATTACAAAAGGCAACAAACCTTTTAGTTTCGTCCGCGCTTTTTGGGGTAGGATATGTTTGGATGGTCTCATATTTTGAGTTATCGGGAAGAATTCCCTTGTCACTGCATTTATGACCCAAAAAGGTTACATCGTGTCTGAAAAATATACACTTATCAGGATGCAGCTTCGGATTATATTTTCTGCACGTCGTGAAGGCATCCCGCATATTTTGAATCATATGTTTTTCTGAGCATCCAATTACGATGAAATCATCCATATACAGGAATGCCAGTTCAGGCGTAAAGGTAAGGTCACATTGGGCAAATATTTGACGAAAAATGTGAATTATTTCTTTGTCACAATCTGACCAACAAATATTATTTGACGGTAAATACAAAAACAGCTGATTTTGGGAAAACAAAATTATTTGCCGGAAAACAAAAATGTGACCAATGTGTCCATAATGTGAACATATATGATCAATTATTTTCCTATTTTTTGGTCAAACATTTATTTGACGTTGCAAATGTTTTGTAAGGTCAAACAAGGAAAAATATCAGTTTAAAACATTGGGCAGCATTTTGCTTTAACAACAGGAGCAATTGTAGCATGATGTTTAATGAATTGAAAAACAAACGAATGCAATAAGTGGCTTTATTTATTTGATATTTTTGAACTAACTAAATTTGAATGTTTAGTAAAAAATGTGTATATTTGGTCTGTTTCAGAACTGCCGGAATGTAAGTGTTGTAAGTGTAAGTTTTTTACGATAACCGATTTTCCCTTTATTATATCGAAGAAAATTGCGAAACTAGTAGATTCTTGCAGTTTCTGGAACATGATATAGGTAGATGCATCAACGCTTGAAACAAAGATATGTCAAAAATTTTTAAATGTTTTGACAAAAATAAGTAGATTGTAGTAGATATATATATATATATATATATATATATATATATATATATATATATATATATATATATATATAATGTTTCCCTGTCCTAGATATCGAGTATTCTAGGTCTCTAGGAACCATATTCCCTTCCGGAATAAATGGAATATATATATATATATATATATAAATATATATATATATATATATATATATATATATATATATATATATATATATATATATATATATAATATAAAGAACAAAATTCAAATTGGTAGTAGGTAATACAACGGCATTATTACATCCTCTAGTCCCGAGAATTTGTTTGTGGACACTAAAATCTAAAAAAAAAAATAAATAAAAATAAATGTATATATATATATATATATATATATATATATATATATATTAATTTTATATATATAGAATGTTCTGATTAGAAATATAATTGAATACATTCAGTATATTACATAGTTCTTTAAGATTCTTCATTATTGTAAATATCAAAATGGCATGTGTAAGACAGAAAGAGTGTTGCAGGTTGAAAAATGTTTTTAATAAATATATAAAATCTTCTACACCGGGTTTGAAAGTCTGCACTTATTGAAATAGCATCAGCCTAAGGGTACAACTCTTATTGGCACGCTATTTACCTCGTTTTGGATTTGCTATTAATTTTTGTCAAGGCATCAACGTACGTTTTATTTCAGATTGTCAGCTAATCGAAGTTTGTTTTGGAATTGTAACTAACAACATTTTTTTCTAAAATTGTTGAATAAAAAAATTGTATTTACTTTACTTAAAAGGCTTCAGCAATATTTGAAAAATCAATGATATTGGTAGTAATTTTAATTTTGTTGCAGCCGCTTACTGCTATTTTGTGTTAATTTACGATATTGAAACAACTTTTTGTAAGCCTGGTACGCTGAGTTCCTGAATACGGTTGTGTAGAGTGGACCCCTTTTTTGAGTAAACAAATAACATGAAAATTAATAGTAGTAGCTTGAAATAACTAATATGATCTATTTTGTAAGAAAATTGGTAAAAGTTATCCATTCATGATTATTTTTTAAGCGATTCCCCTATAATTGAAAAGTACACACATGCAATCGCAAATACACACTACCCTACCTTGATGTGATTGTATCATTTATGACTTTTACAAACATTCATGATATGCATTTAAAAATTCTGTCAAAGCCTCATATTCCTAAACAGCTGGGCTTTTATTTCCCTTCTCACTCTCTCTCCTCTCTACTAATATCAAACAATTTCATTGGCAAAATATATTTTAAGTATGTAAACGCGTATTTCCAGAGCAGTATTTGACACTGTTTTATGGCCGAACAAAATTTGTCAAATATTTGACTGTAATGTGAACATCAAATCAACCCTGTGTGAATTTAACATTTGTTTAGTCAAATATGGAAAAATAATTTTCGTTGAAGTATTCGCACAGTCTGACCGTACCTTAAGGACTAACTACGGAGCTAGTAACCCTTTTCGTGCTTTGTGTGAAAACTGGCGTTTACGTGGATCCCAAGATAAAGGAGGTGGCCCCCTCGGTCGGTTTGCTTCACTGACGTTATCATTTGAATCCCTGCTTTTAACGTATGATGGCTAACATCATTTAAACACATACGAATTTTCAAGCTTAGAGTGTCCATATTAAGTCCTGCATCAGTGTAACTGTCAGTCTCAACAAAAAAGATATAACAGATAGGGTAAGTGCGCCTAAGTTCGGCATGTCCCAGCAGTCGGCAATTTTGAAATTTAAACTTAAATAACTAAAAATGGAATTGACCAAATAATAAAATAATTGCAAAAAAACGTCAGCAGTGTTCTCTGCTCCCTTTCTGTAAAAAACAATGAGCTCCGATCATTTATTAATAATAAACCGTAATTAATAATAGAATAACGGTTTTCGTCAGTGAGTGTCTGCCAACGCGTGCGATGTGCTTGTTTGTAAAGAAAAAATTAGTGGTGGCGTCAACTTAATAATCAATTTAAGTAAATTAAATTTAATACTTTTGGAATCAGAAATATTTTATAATAGTAAATGATAGTCTAACGATCATTTTATAACTTAAAAAATATACATAATCAAGCATTTTACTCTTATATTATTTACATTAGGAACAGAAAAAAAGGGATTTGCCAGTAGTCGGCAGGGGTGCCGATTACTAGAAAAATATCATATCAATATTGGGGTTAAAAGTTAATTCTTTAAATACACAAAGCATTTATGGCGCTCTTCAGTCCAAATAAACTTTGCATTTTTCCTAGTTAATTTTGTTAATGGCAGAGAGTATTCTGCAAAATTCGGTATAAATTTTCTGTAGTAATTACAAAAGGCAACAAACCTTTTAGTTTCGTCCGCGCTTTTTGGGGTAGGATATGTTTGGATGGTCTCATATTTTGAGTTATCGGGAAGAATTCCCTTGTCACTGCATTTATGACCCAAAAAGGTTACATCGTGTCTGAAAAATATACACTTATCAGGATGCAGCTTCGGATTATATTTTCTGCACGTCGTGAAGGCATCCCGCATATTTTGAATCATATGTTTTTCTGAGCATCCAATTACGATGAAATCATCCATATACAGGAATGCCAGTTCAGGCGTAAAGGTAAGGTCACATTGGGCAAATATTTGACGAAAAATGTGAATTATTTCTTTGTCACAATCTGACCAACAAATATTATTTGACGGTAAATACAAAAACAGCTGATTTTGGGAAAACAAAATTATTTGCCGGAAAACAAAAATGTGACCAATGTGTCCATAATGTGAACATATATGATCAATTATTTTCCTATTTTTTGGTCAAACATTTATTTGACGTTGCAAATGTTTTGTAAGGTCAAACAAGGAAAAATATCAGTTTAAAACATTGGGCAGCATTTTGCTTTAACAACAGGAGCAATTGTAGCATGATGTTTAATGAATTGAAAAACAAACGAATGCAATAAGTGGCTTTATTTATTTGATATTTTTGAACTAACTAAATTTGTATATTTGGTCTGTTTCAGAACTGCCGGAATGTAAGTGTTGTAAGTGTAAGTTTTTTACGATAACCGATTTTCCCTTTATTATATCGAAGAAAATTGCGAAACTAGTAGATTCTTGCAGTTTCTGGAACATGATATAAAAATTTTTAAATGTTTTGACAAAAATAAGTAGATTGTAGTAGATATATATATATATATATATATATATATATATATATATATAATGTTTCCCTGTCCCAGATATCGAGTATTCTAGGTCTCTAGGAACCATATTCCCTTCCGGAATAATATATATATATATATATATATATATATATATATATATATATATATATATATATATATATATATATATATATATATATATATATATATATATATATATATAACATAAAGAACAAAATTCAAATTGGTAGTAGGTAGTACAACGGCATTATTACAAAGAGGTTTTGCCACTGTGTAATTTATTGTATAGAACCAACGTAATAATTTATATTGAGGTAATTACACACATAGATACATATTTAAATAAAATTGAATTATTAGTTTTAATATCATTTGTTATTCGTCGTCATCATCCTCTAGTCCCGAGAATTTGTTTGTGGACACTAAAATCTAAAAAAAAAATAAATAAAAATAAATGTATATATATATATATATTTATTAATTTTATATATATAGAATGATCTGATTAGAAATATAATTGAATACATTCAGTATATTACATAGTTCTTTAAGATTCTTCATTATTGTAAATATCAAAATGGCATGTGTAAGACAGAAAGAGTGTTGCAGGTTGAAAAATGTTTTTAATAAATATATAAAATCTTCTACACCGGGTTTGAAAGTCTGCACTTATTGAAATAGCATCAGCCTAAGGGTACAACTCTTATTGGCACGCTATTTACCTCGTTTTGGATTTGCTATTAATTTTTGTCAAGGCATCAACGTACGTTTTATTTCAGATTGTCAGCTAATCGAAGTTTGTTTTGGAATTGTAACTAACAACATTTTTTTCTAAAATTGTTGAATAAAAAAAATTGTATTTACTTTACTTAAAAGGCTTCAGCAATATGAGCAATGATATTGGTAGTAATTTTAATTTTGTTGCAGCCGCTTACTGCTATTTTGTGTTAATTTACGATATTGAAACAACTTTTTGTAAGCCTGGTACGCTGACTTCCTGAATACGGTTGTGTAGAGTGGACCCCTTTTTTGAGTAAACAAATAACATGAAAATTAATAGTAGTAGCTTGAAATAACTAATATGATCTATTTTGTAAGAAAATTGGTAAAAGTTATCCATTCATGATTATTTTTTAAGCGATTCCCCTATAATTGAAAAGTACACACATGCAATCGCAAATACACACTACCCTACCTTGATGTGATTGTACCATTTATGACTTTTACAAACATTCATGATATGCATTTAAAAATTCTGGCAAAGCCTCATATTCCTAAACAGCTGGGCTTTTATTTCCCTTCTCACTCTCTCTCCTCTCTACTAATATCAAACAATTTCATTGGCAAAATATATTTTAAGAATGTAAACGCGTATTTCCAGAGCAGTATTTGACACTGTTTTATGGCCGAACAAAATTTGTCAAATATTTGACTGTAATGTGAACATCAAATCAACCCTGTATGAATTTAACATTTGTTTAGTCAAATATGGAAAAATAATTTTCGTTGAAGTATTCGCACAGTCTGACCGTACCTTAAGGACTAACTACGGAGCTAGTAACCCTTTTCGTGCTTTGTGTGAAAACTGGCGTTTACGTGGATCCCAAGATAAAGGAGGTGGCCCCCTCGGTCGGTTTGCTTCACTGACGTTATCATTTGAATCCCTGCTTTTAACGTATGATGGCTAACATCATTTAAACACATACGAATTTTCAAGCTTAGAGTGTCCATATTAAGTCCTGCATCAGTGTAACTGTCAGTCTCAACAAAAAAGATATAACAGATAGGGTAAGTGCGCCTAAGTTCGGCATGTCCCAGCAGTCGGCAATTTTGAAATTTAAATTTAAATAACTAAAAATGGAATTGACCAAATAATAAAATAATTGCAAAAAAACGTCAGCAGTGTTCTCTGCTCTCTTTCTGTAAAAAACAATAAGCTCCGATCATTTATTAATAATAAACCGTAATTAATAATAGAATAACGGTTTTCGTCAGTGAGTGTCTGCCAACGCGTGCGATGTGCTTGTTTGTAAAGAAAAAATTAGTGGTGGCGTCAACTTAATAATCAATTTAAGTAAATTAAATTTAATACTTTTGGAATCAGAAATATTTTATAATAGTAAATGATAGTCTAGAAAAAAAGGGATTTACCAGTAGGCGGCAGGGGTGCCGATTACTAGAAAAATATCATTTTTGACCTTGTTCACCAAAACTTGAGAAAGTTATTAAAAAATATTGGGGTTAAAAGTTAATTCTTTAAATACACAAAGCATTTATGGCGCTCCTCAGTCCAAATAAACTTTGCATTTTTCCTAGTTAATTTTGTTAATGGCAGAGAGTATTTTGCAAAATTCGGTATAAATTTTCTGTAGTAATTACAAAAGGCAACAAACCTTTTAGTTTCGTCCGCGCTTTTTGGGGTAGGATATGTTTGGATGGTCTCATATTTTGAGTTATCGGGAAGAATTCCCTTGTCACTGCATTTATGACCCAAAAAGGTTACATCGTGTCTGAAAAATATACACTTATCAGGATGCAGCTTCGGATTATATTGTCTGCACGTCGTGAAAGCATCCCGCATATTTTGAATCATATGTTTTTCTGAGCATCCAATTACGATGAAATCATCCATATACAGGAATGCCAGTTCAGGCGTAAAGGTAAGGTCACATTGGGCAAATATTTGACGAAAAATGTGAATTATTTCTTTGTCACAATCTGACCATCAAATATTATTTGACGGTAAATACAAAAACAGCTGATATTGGGAAAACAAAATTATTTGCCGGAAAACAAAAATGTGACCAATGTGTCCATAATGTGAACATATATGATCAATTATTTTCCTATTTTTTGGTCAAACATTTATTTGACGTTGCAAATGTTTTGTAAGGTCAAACAAGGAAAAATATCAGTTTAAAACATTGGGCAGCATTTTGCTTTAACAACAGGAGCAATTGTAGCATGATGTTTAATGAATTGAAAAACAAACGAATGCAATAAGTGGCTTTATTTATTTGATATTTTTGAACTAACTAAATTTGAATATTTAGTAAAAAATGTGTATATTTGGTCTGTTTCAGAACTGCCAGAATGTAAGCGTTTTTACTACGATAACCGATTTTCCCTTTATTATATCGAAGAAAATTGCGAAACTAGTAGATTCTTGCAGGTTCTGGAACATGATATAGGTAGATGCATCAACGCTTGAAACAATGATATGTCAAAAATTTTTAAATGTTTTGACAAAAATAAGTAGATTGTTCTATGTTTTCCTATACGGCGAAAAATCGGAGGTTGCAATGATATATATTTTTCAACAATTTTTACAAATTTCAATAATATTTCATTCATTATTTTCAATTCCAAAATTGTTTTGACAGTTCATTGTCCCAGCAGCTATGTCGATGTAAAATGCAAAATAAAATTGTTCTAACAAGGAATTAATTCCACAACAGCTGGTCTTTTGCTTCCCTTCTCCAAATAAATTATACCCGAGACTACATGTTCTTTATGTCTCTCTTTCACTCTCTCTGTCTATTTCTCTCGGCCAAATAAACTTAAGTTTCCTCAAAGTTTGATCAAACAATTTAATGGGAAAATATATTTTACGAATGTGAACATGTGTCAAACATGTTTTCCCATAGCACTGTTTGACGCTGTTTGGTGACTGCTTGAACAAACAAAATCTGTCAAATATTTGACTGTAATGTGAACATCGAATCAACTCTGTATGAATTTCACATTTGTTCAGTCAAATATGGGAAAACAAATTTCGATCAAATATTTGCCAGTGTGACCGTACCTTAAGACCAGAAAATGCTATTGACATCATTTTTTGGAAGCAGTTCGGCGCTACCTTGATTCCATAAGGGAGACGTTTAAAGCGAAATGATCCTTCATTCGTGGAGAATAAAGTTATATCCCTAGACTCCTCTTTTAATTCTATTTGATGAAATCCGGACATTAGATCCAAACAGGAAAAATATTTTGCTCGACCTAGTTGGTCTAGAATATCTTCGATTCTTGGTAAGGGATATTTGTCCGCTATTAACCTTTTATTAATTTGTCTGTAGTCTACAACTAGTCGCCATCTCTTTGCGGAGTTACCTGGAAATGATTTGGTACTAATAATACCGGACTGTTGTAACATGAAAATGATGGTTCTATAATATCATCTTGTATTAATTTGTGAGCCTAAGCTTTTATTTCCTGTTTTTGACTATGTGGAATTCTATAATTTTTTATATAAACAGGGGTATCATCCATTACTCGGAACTGTTGTTTATAAAAATTATTAGTTGAGATTTTATCGGTTTCCAGAGCAAAAATGTTTGAGAATTCAGTACATAAGTCAGTTAAACGTTTTTTTGCAAAATCAGGAAAATTTTTTGTTAGCCTTTTCAATACTTGTTCACGACGATCGTCCCGGGGGCATTGTATCTGTATAAAACTATAATCGGATAAGTTTTCCGTTATAATGTGAACACAAATAGAATGGAAACAATAAATATCATTTATGATGTGAATGATATTATAAGAGAGAATTTCTCTTAAAAATATTTATTTTTTGTCTTTTTTAATAAAATTTTAAAATCCACAAAATTTTCGTATATAACATTTTATGTATATAAAGTCAAAAGGGGTAGCAAAGCGCACCTAATTAATACATAAATGTTGTTTTTTACTACAGTTTAATACAAACATAAAGATGCATAAATACATACATACATTACATACATAGAAGGGATCTCCTCAAGTGGTGTTTAACTGGATGAAAATTAATCCCCTGATACAATAGATGACTGCTGCAACTGCTGATATTGTTGTAAGGATTTGTTCTGTTAATGCGGTTCCGGCTCTAACTCCAAGTTGAAAAGTTCGGCTACTTCGTTGAGCTGTAGCCAGGAATCTTTGGGATTAAGTGGGGTACGTTTGAGATTAGTAGGCAACGTTTGGGTTGCTTTTGGTTGTTGTCTGGCAAACAAATAATTAATATAATAAATAGTCTCTGTATCACTACTACACGAATCGATGGAAGCAAAATAAATAAGTTTATTGTCACATCTATTTACAACTGGAGTTAGTCCATATTCATTGTGGCAGTGGTGAATCATTTGGACCAAGTGCGTGCGCCCGCAGCTACAATCCCAGGATTAATCGTATATAAGCCTATTCGGGCCCAGAAAGTCCAAACCAGAGTAGTAAAGCATTGGGTGCATGCGACGCCAGAGTTGCCGATAGCCCACTACACCATATTTGCTAGGGTATTGTGGCGCATATGTAAAATATAGTGGTACAAAATGTTTTTTTGGGCAAAAAGGAATTGAAACACAAAAATAATTGATTTGGAAAAAAATGGAAAAATGTAAATATGTACTGTATTTTAGTTACAAAATCTTAATATGTTGTAAGTTGGACGTCATGTTTATTTGCAATATAACAATTGACTAACGCCTAATATATATATATATATATATATATATATATATATATATACATATATTTTATATATATGTATATACATGTATATATATATATATATATATATATATATATATATATATATATTCCATATATTCCGGAAGGGAATATGGTTCCTAGAGACCTAGAATACTCGATATCTGGGACAGGGAAACATTATATATATATATATATATATATATATATATATATATATATATATATATATATATATATATATATATATATATATATATATATATATATATATATACAGTGGCGACATTTTAAATAGCACGCTTAGTGGAAAATTTTTCACACACCTTTTGCTATTTTCTTTCTGCAATTACTTAAATTCTTTTTACAGTTACTTTTTTTAGAAACATGTTGTTGTTAATATACAATGTAAGCTTAGTCAAAAAATAAGTTTATTTTTAGAAACTGAAAGTTTTTGATTCTTTCAGTCTGTATTCGCCGACATTTTAAATAGCACGTGCCCTAAGATAATTAAAAAAAAAAATATTTTTTTATTAAATTAAACGCTGATAAAGAAAAAAAGGTATACAGTTGAGAATAATTTATTTTTCACTCAAATCCAATCTTTCGAAGATTTGTCCTCCAATACCGCAATGACGGCCTAACATTTTCCGAAATATCGAAAAAACTAAATTGTTCGAGAAAAAAAGTTTATAACGCAATTAAACATTATGAAAAGAATCAATCTTTTGAGAGTATCACAGAGATCCAGAATAACGTCGCAAAGGACGGATCACTTAATAGTTAAAATGAGCAAAAGTGATCCTTTTTTAACTGCACCGAGGATACGGGAACAAATTCAAGAACAACTGGGAATAAACATATCAACAAGTACAATAAAGAACAGATTACGAGAAAATAATTTGTTTGGGCGCATTGCCAGGCGAAAACCACACGTGTCCCAAAAAAATCGAATAGTTCGAGTTAATTTTGCCAAGGTCCATTTAGAAAAACCCCTTTCTTACTGGAATAATGTACTTTTCACGGACGAATCTAAGTTTAACCGCTTTGCCTCGGATGGAAAGTCATACGTAAGGCGAAATATAAACACAGAATTTGATCCAAGGTACACGACAAAAACCATCAAACACGGTGGGCGAAGCGTGCTTGTTTGGGGAGGCTTCTCGTGGTACGGTGTGGGTCCTATAACACGAATAGAAGGTATAATGGACCAATTAGCTTACAAAAACATTTTAATGAATATAATGTTACCATACGCTGAAGAAGATATGCCTCTAAAGTGGAAGCTTGTACAGGATAATGATCCCAAGCACACGGCTAAGTCCGTTAAAAAATGGATTTCTGATAATAAAATTGAGGTAGTACCATGGCCAGCCCAATCTCCGGATTTAAATCCCATCGAGAATCTATGGCACGATGTTGATAAGAGAATAGATCGTTCTAATGCTACAAATATGAACATTTTATGGACTGAAATCCAAAAGGCATGGTATTCCATCCCTTTAGAAAGATGTCAATCGCTGATTCAGTCAATGCACCGTCGATTCACAGCCGTTGTTAAAAATAAGGGATTTCCTACACAGTACTGATGGTATTAACAAATTTAAATTTATTTAACATATAATAAAATTGAATTAATCATAAGTTTTTAATGAATTTTAGATGCACTATCATGTGTGCTATTTAATTTGTCGTGAATAAAATCGTTTTTTTGTTAAAAAATTATGTAAAAATATGTATGAACACAAAATAAGAAAATGAATCACTATTAATTAATTAACAACAATATATGTAACTTATATATAATAAAGGTTTTTAATTTTTTCGTACCGATTGAAGGAAAATTATCATTTATTCCTCTATATATGAAACGTGCTATTTGAGATGTCGCCACTGTATATATATATATATATATATATATATATATATATATATATATATATATATATATATATATATACAGTATCGGACAAAACATTTGCAACTAGTATACACATTTCATAAATTGTCTTAATAAAACCTGTGGGGTAATGTTATTCAAATTTTATTTGCATTTTTGTAATATTGTAGATCTAAGGTAGCATTTTTCACAAAAATTGCATTTACGTCTTTGTAATTTAGAATATTTTTTAAATTTTTGTGAGGAAAGTCATTATTTGGACAAGACAAAACAATTGCAACTTAAAACATTTTCTTGTTTATGTATGTTTTGTTTCGTTTTGATCTCATTCGCTGATTTTTGATAGAAAACCACATGATTTTTTAGTTGCTAAAATATTTCTGAAAAAAGACTGGTACAGCTTGTGTTCCGCAATGTCGGTAATAATGGCACCAAATAAATTCGGTACAGCTTTACGAAAGCTAATTATTGACGATTTTAACTGTGGAATTTCTCAAAAAGAGCTCTCCATTAAATACATAGTGCATAAGTCATCAATTTCAAGAATTTTATCACGTTTTAGAAAAACTAAATCGGTGGAAGTTATAAGCAATGGTGGCAGGCCGCGAAAAACTGATCAAAGGACAGACTCGTTAATTGTAAGAGAGGTTAACAAATATCCTTTCAAATCGGCTCCGATATTGACAAAAGAATTGAAACTACAAATTAGCGCAAGAACGATTTGTCGACGGCTCGCTGAAGCTGATTTGTTAGCTTATCGCCCGGCGAAAAAACCCCTTATATCTAACCGAAACAAATCGAAACGGCTTCAGTTTGCCCAAGAACATGTTAACTGGACAGTGGGCCAGTGGAAAAACGTGCTTTTCAGCGATGAGTCAAAATTCAATATCATAGCTAGCGATGGCATAACTCACGTTAGAAGACCCAGAGGAAAACGAATTCAACAGGAGTTTTGCCTGAAGACAGTCGAACATGGAGGTGGCAATGTCATGGTTTGGGGATGTTTTTCTGCCAACGGATTACGTCCGCTGTATCGAATACAGGGTACTATGGATAGATAGGTCTATAAAGACATTCTGGAAAACGTTATGTTACCATATGCTGAATGGGAAATTCCATTACGGTGGATATTTCAGCACGATAACGATCCCAAACACACCTCGAAGGTGGTAAAGGATTGGTTAAAGGAAAAAAAGTTGCCGTAATGCAATGGCCACCACAGTCACCGGGTATTAATCCAATGGAAAACCTCTGGTCAATTGTGAAACACAAAATTGATCGCAATAACGTAAAAAATACGGATGAATTTTTCAGTCGGGTCCAAGATGCATGGTATGGAATTCCACAGGATACAATAATTAATTTGATAGAGTCCATGCAGCGACGATGCAAGGCTGTTATAGAAAATAATGGTTTCGCTACGAAATATTAAAAAAAAATGTTAACCATGAATTATTTTAAGTTGCAATTGTTTTGTCTTCTTCAAATTATAAGTTTCAAAGACATGAATTTAATTTTTATTTAAAATACCCCCTGACATTTACAATATTACATAAATACAAATAAAATTTGAATAACATAACCCCACAGGTTTTATTATGACAATTTATAAAAAATGTATACTTGTTGCAAATGTTTTGTAAGATACTGTATATATAATGTATATATATGTATATATATATATATATATATATATATATATATATATATATATATATATATATATATATATATATATATATATATATATATATATATATATATATATATATATACATGTATATACATATATATAAAGAACAAAATTCAAATTGGTAGTAGGTAATACAACGGCATTATTACAAAGAGGTTTTGCCACTGTGTAATTTATTGTATAGAACCAACGTAATAATTTATATTGAGGTAATTACACACATAGATACATATTTAAATAAAATTGAATTATAAGTTTTCATATCATTTGTTATTCGTCGTCATCATCCTCTAGTCCCGAGAATTTGTTTGTGGACACTAAAATCTAAAAAAATAAAAAAATAAAAATAAATGTATATATATATATATATATATATATATATATATATATATATATATATATATATATATATATATATATATATATATATATATATATATATATAGAGAATGTTCTGATTATAAATATAATTGAATACATTCAGTATATTACATAGTTCTTTAAATATCAAAATGGCATGTGTAAGACAGAAAGAGTGTTGCAGGTTGAAAAATGTTTTTAATAAATATATAAAATCTTCTACACCGGGTTTGAAAGTCTGCACTTATTGCAATAGCATCAGCCTAAGGGTACAACTCTTATTGGCACGCTATTTACCACGTTTTGGATTTGCTATTAATTTTTGTCAAGGCATCAACGTACGTTTTATTTCAGATTGTCAGCTAATCGAAGTTTGTTTTGGAATTGTAACTAACAACATTTTTTTCTAAAATTGTTGAATAAAAAAAAATTGTATTTACTTTACTTAAAAGGCTTTAGCAATATTTGAAAAATCAATGATATTGGTAGTAATTTTAATTTTGTTGCAGCCGCTTACTGCTATTTTGTGTTAATTTACGATATCAAAACAACTTTTTGTAAGCCTGGTACGCTGAGTTCCTGAATACGGTTGTGTAGAGTGGACCCCTTTTTTGAGTAAACAAATAACATGAAAAATAATAGTAGTAGTTTGAAATAACTATAATGATCTATTTTGTAAGAAAATTGGTAAAAGTTATCCATTCATGATTATTTTGTAAGCGATTCCCCTATACTTTGAAAAGTACACACATGCAATCGCAAATACACACTACCCTACCTTGATGTGATTGTACCATTTATGACTTTTACAAACATTCATGATATGCATTTAAAAATTCTGGCAAAGCCTCATATTCCTAAACAGCTAGGCTTTTATTTCCCTTCTCACTCTCTCTTCTCTCTACTAATCTCAAACAATTTCATTGGCAAAATATATTTTAAGAATGTAAACGCGTATTTCCAGAGCAGTATTTGACACTGTTTTATGGCCGAACAAACAAAATTTGTCAAATATTTGACTTAATACATTTGTCTAGTCAAATATGGAAAAATATTTGAAAAATATTCGTATTCGCACAGTCTGACCGTACCTTAAGGACTAACTACGAAGCTAGTAACCCTTTTCGAGCTTTGTGTGAAAACTGGCGTTTACGTGGATCCCAAGATAAAGGAGGTGGCCCCCTCGGTCGGTTTGCTTCACTGACGTTATCATTTGAATCCCTGCTTTTAACGTATGATGGCTAACATCATTTAAACACATACGAATTTTCAAGCTTAGAGTGTCCATATTAAGTCCTGCATCAGTGTAACTGTCAGTCTCAACAAAAAAGATATAACAGATAGGGTAAGTGCGCCTAAGTTCGGCATGTCCCAGTAGTCGGCAATTTTGAAATTTAAACTTAAATAACTAAAAATGGAATTGACCAAATAATAAAATAATTGCAAAAAAACGTCAGCAGTGTTCTCTGCTCTCTTTCTGTAAAAAACAATGAGCTCCGATCATTTATTAATAATAAACCGTAATTAATAATAGAATAACGGTTTTCGTCAGTGAGTGTCTGCCAACGCGTGCGATGTGCTTGTTTGTAAAGAAAAAATTAGTGGTGGCGTCAACTTAATAATCAATTTAAGTAAATTAAATTCAATACTTTTGGAATCAGAAATATTTTATAATAGTAAATGATAGTCTAACGATCATTTTATAACTTAAAAAATATACATAATCAAGCATTTTTCTCTTATATTATTTACATTAGGAACAGAAAAAAAGAGATTTGCCAGTAGTCGGCGGGGGTGCCGATTACTAGAAAAATATCATTTTTGACCTTGTTCACCAAAACTTGAGAAAGTTATTAAAAAATAATCCAAAAACTACTAAATAAAAAAATAGTTTTGAGTCGGCAGTTGCTTTTATTTGTGCTTTTTGACCAACTTTCCTAAATTAAGTAGTTTTTTTTCTAATCAGCTATTTGACGACCGCCGCTATCTAGGTGGCATTTAAAAAAATGTTGGTTATCTAAAGGAAAAATGTCAATTCACAAATTCCAAACATAAGATAGGTACTTTTTTATTTTATCTCATTTTTATTTTAATTGAAAATCCATACTATTCTTGATTTTCTACCTATATTTGGTTTAAAATGATAATTAATTAAAACACTATTTAAAAACAAAATTAGTTAATAAAACTTTGAAATAAAAAAAATATACAAAATAATATTTTTTAATGAAATAGCATATGCCGACTACTAGCAAATAGACATGCCGAGCATTTGAAAATGGTGCCGACTACTGGCAAAAAACTACTATTTTGGTAAAATTGCAAGTTTTGCCAATTTAATAAAAACAAATTCAATTGTTGTTTATTATTTCGTACTAAACAAAACATGGAATCTGAACAACTTTATTTTTCTGCAATTGAAAGATTTCACTCAGAATGTCGAAAGATTGAAATATTGAAAAGCCTAAAAGTGCCGACTACTGGCACACTTACCCTACATACCATGTAACTATTGTTATAAATGAGAGAATGACTGTAACAAGCATTGAATGCTTAGACTCACCGTTTGTTATAAAACCCCCAGATGTCGTCTATATTGTTTCAGGAGTATTAATGAAAATATTAAAGTCACTTAAATCTAAAATGTTAAAAATATTAACAACTGTACGGTATTTGACAGTTACAAACCATTCTATAATAATATGTAGGTGTACATTTCGAAAAATGCGCTACTAATCCAGTGCAATTCTTTTAAACCGATTCAAGTTGCTTTCGAGGTTTTGTGAGACGACTGGTAAAATCAGAATGTTGACAACGCAAAGCGTGCTGAGGGCTATCTGGATAAAAAGACAAATCCAGCATTCTGTTTTCTATAGCTCATTAATATATCGCTTACTCATATCTGAGCGGAGGCTCATATCTGAACTTTATAGAGAGAAACAATTGTGTATAGTATTGAAGTTAGTGCGATCTCTTCTGGTTTTTAGTTTTTATATATTATGTGTTTAAGGAACTATTGTACCACAAATATTTTCAAAACCACACTTGTAATCTGAATCGACAAAGTCAAATAAAATTAATTTAAGTAAGCAAGAAAACTGTAAAAAGTAAACAGACGGAATTCCTGCAAAAACCTGCAAGCAATTAGCTGGTTTGTCAAAACAAAACAATTAGTGCGTTATAAACAGAGATTAATCATGCAGATATTAAAAGTAAGGCGAACAAACAAAAGGATTGCACTTGCGATTTCCAAAATAAAGATGTTTTTAAATTGCTTATCCGAATATAAATCACCAGAAGGAGAAGAAGAAGAGTAGGAAGTGTTTGCAAGAAGAAATTTGTCTAGCAAGCTCTCAGTGAATGAACTGACAAAATTGTTCTCTCAAATCGCTCTCTTTTGCAGATCTTTTGTGTTAACATATGACTTCCTGATGACTGCAATAATTGTTACAAATTTTAGGGCAACACACTTAATATGTTTTTATACCAGTTTGTGCAAAACAGCATGTACAAATGCCGTCTGTAACAATAACTACCAGTAAAAGAAACTACATTATACTCATCCATACTCAACGTTGAAAAAGTTGAAACTGTTGCATTCAGTTGGAACTGTGCACGTCCATATTTTAGATTTTTTTCTATAATTTAGTAACAAACGAACTAAAGTTATGCAATTATTTAAAAAATCTTTGATCTGTATATACATGTAATTCTAATTGTTAAAATTCATGTAAGTTAAGGAAAAAAGATGTAGTGGCTTCTTTTGTGCACACACGCAACATGATCCGTTTGTTGACTGAAATAAATGATTGTCAAACACTTACGTTGATACAGTGCTAACTACCTCCTCACATAAGTGAAGCCGTCGATGGTCTTCTTCAGAACTCAATTTCAGATTTCAATTGATGAACATCAATTCTCTTTTTCCAACGCTTGTTGGATGTAATGACGAAACATAGCAACACAACAATCATAAACACAAGAAAGGCGGTTAAAATTGGCCGCATTTTTTGCGTCTTTGTCAAGTCGACCAATGTATCATAAATTTTGGAAACTCAGAATGTTATTGTGGTATTTTATAAGACTTGAGGGGAATGTTAGCGTCCTCATATCAATAACATGCCGTTGATAGTTACTTTATTTTCGAACATTATGATACATGTATCGCTTATTGTTCTTATCTCTTCAATAATAATACCGTCATGGAGTTCTACCACTTTATCTAGGTTATTACTTTGGGTGTAGCATTGTTCTGATTTTCCAGATATAAGTTGTTGAGCACAGGTTGTATTTGCCATCAGTTTTTATTATGTGGTAGATAGTGTTTGTAGCCAGCGTGTTGCCGAGTAGACCGACCATCACACGATGTTGGTTATAAAATATAATATACAAGGTGAGATAAAAAAATCTGCGCATGAGTTCTGGTGGCGAACCGAAGGTGCACATTTCCAGCTGACCTTTTTTTAAACTGCTAGACAACGAATGTTTTCACATCGGATAAATTCGGCCAAGGGCGGCAACTCTTTAGCTCTTTTGGGTCTATTTTCTTTTTGTTGATCAATGGCATTTTTCAATATTTGCCGAACCGAATATTGCGATATGTTCAGCTCGCGAGTCATTTTTCGGCCACTGCGACGCGGGTTTAGATCAAGTCGCTTCATTACTTTTCAAGCCAGTTCTGCTGATGTTGCTGTTTTCTTCCGTCCACTTCCTTGATGCCGGGCTACGCTACCAGTACCATGGTAAGGGGCGATGGTACGAGACACAAAAGATTTATTCACATTTAAATGCTGGAGTGCTCTATGACTGTGATTTTACAGCCATTTATAAAGATATCACACTATCATGCTTGAATCTCATCACGAATAACTTTTATTCCGGCTGAGAAATGAAAGTCTGAAGTTGGTTATAGTTTTTCCATCTCACCCTGTATACTCATTTCACATTACTTTTAATTTTAACAA